GATTAATGAAGAATTCCTACAGAGATGCTCTGAATTGAAGGATCTTGGTATCACTTATGATCAGTCATTGTCTTTTACAAAACACATAATGAATATTACGAGGTCCGCGAATCGTTTACTGGGTTTTGTAATCAGGCAGGCCTCAAACTTTTCCAGCATAGAGGCACTGAAGACTCTTTATTATAGTCTGGTGAGACCCAAAATGGAGTATTGTTCCCATATTTGGTTTGTTGAATACCAGTCCACATTATCTTTGTTGGAAAAAATTCAAAACAAATTTTTGAGATTTATTTATTATAAGAAATATCACTTCCGACCAGATTATAACACAGTGAGAACCATACATCTCAGAAATGAATTTAAGATACTATCTTTAGATGATAGGCGAAAACTTGCAGTATTGATCTTTCTTTTTAAAATTATTAATAACAAAATAAATTCCCCTAAGATTTTGTCTCAGTTGCGTTTTAACGTTCCTCCAAGAAGGACTCGCACTTCCGTAATGTTTAACATTCCTTTATCTCCCACTTCTACGAGAGCTCCTCTTGTATCCATGTGTAGATTAGCAAATCACTTTAATTCCCTTACTGACTTAGATTGGACAGGCTCACAAAATGTTTTTCGAAAGACACTGTTATCGCAAATTATTGATTTATCATTTTAATGGCAATAAGTTTATATTAATGTAGCTATTTCTTTGTATACATATTATGTATAAAGGTAAATCTGTCAAATATTATTTTTTATACTGTACAGGTTTCAGTCTGATCTACTTCATCACCCTATGCCATATTATGTACACCTGCATTATTATATAAGTTTATATTGTATTGATCATTATCCATGTAAGTAGACCTAATAGGTCTGTTTGGATATAAATAAATAAATAAATAAATAAATAAATAAATAAATAAATAAATAAATAAATAAATAAATAAATAAATAAATAAATAAATAAATAAATAAATAAACATTGAATTTTAGGTTATGTCGTACATTTCACGAAAGTTTTAATAATACTCATATGTTCATCAAGCCATCGCCTGCTGAAAGGAATTTTACAAACTGATGTCTTTTTTTATTTTTAGATGACGCATGCGCTGTAATACAGTTTCACTCGCAGACTGTCATTCATTCCATTTTTTGGCTTCACTTGGAGATCCTTGTTATCCGTATATGTTTAGTAGGTATATGGCACTTCTGAGTTTGCGCGTTGAGACAGCATCGACGTCAAATCTAAAAGCGAGTTCCCAATGCAGCGTTTCAGGTTTACGCGTCGCGCGTCATGCAACCTGATTGGTGACACTGAATTTCAAAAGTATTTGACGCGATGAAGTTAAAATATTTCAACTTTTTGGAGTTGCTGCTTTGTGTTGAGTTGAGGTTATGTTCCAGACACCTTAATATTCATTATTGATTCTTTCAACAGGAGATTTTTCATGAAAATGTAGCACTTTTGGAATCAACTTCATTAACCCTCATTTCTGAACACTAAAATGTGAGGATTTGGATGTAGTGGCGATAAAATTAAATATCTAAGTTGGATAAAACTTCGGTTTCAATCAATTCGGTGCCAATCAAGGGTATTGGCTATTTACCTACCAATAATTATTATTGTGTCGCTGCAACAAGTGATATCATGGTTAGTGAATCATTGCAGTATGACATGAAGTACTTATACCTAATTATCTCAAATTCACTGTACTATTTTCGTTTTTTGATGACTTCCTTATCTGATGCAGCTGTGCAGCTCTGTATATCTTGCAAGCAGTATCCTATATTTTCAGTATTCTCAGATATTCTCATGATTTTTCAATGCAAACTTCAACCAAAGCAACAATGATAGGTTATTTCATTGGGAACTGGAGGAAATAATGAAAAAGCACTACACGTCACCAATCAGACGCGAAAAGCAAAAAAGGAGCATTGGGAAATCACCTTAAAACGTTTAATGTCATCAAGGGGAGTATTATGGAGATAATAAAAAGGTACATGAATTGTCCATCAATAACTCTATGACGGTTATCAATAAACTACAAAACTATATGATTCAGTGACTATTTTGCTGGAAAATTCCACAGAACAAACAGTTCAATATATCCACTTGACAACAGTGTGTTGTCATAGCTGTCAAATGAAGTACCCAGGTCTTGTGTCGCTGGTCTGGGTCACAGTTCGCACTAGTTAACAGACTTTTGTGGTCTGGTTATCGTTTCATGTGATTTTTGGCTGATTTATTTCATGAGTGATATTTCATGTATATTAGGAACTACGCATTTCTGTATGAATCCAAGAAATTAAACGTCTATATGTTGATAAAAAACAAAAACAGAATTTGAGGCCGGTCCTGACCACATTCCAATAACGCGGTATCATTGTTGCATACTGCGGAAGCTCAGAAGTGCACGTGCGTGAAATTAATTTGGGTCCATGAATTTCCCATGCATTGGCACTCTAGTTGAGTGTATAATTATGTGATACGGGGTTGTAAGAAGGTAGAGTCACATGATCGTATTAGTTAGATAAGAGTTCAGACACAGCTGAACGTCTGTCCTTTTTAATTTTCTATATTACAATGGTTTGAGTGAATAAAAAATACGACAAGACTAATAGCTGAGATATACAAGGTGATTCACGGTGGATGGCCTATTAGAAATATTTGGAAAACTAAAAGACAGAACATTCTGAAAATTGGGATGCTTTGATAATTGAACATTCTCTATCCATCTAAAATATTTTCATCCAGACAATGTTGCCACTTCTATCAGAAACAGTTAGCAACTTTGTTATTTCAAATGGAACACCCTGTACTTTATTACATTTTCAGATTCTTCCTGAAGAGCTGATCTCATCAATGCATCACACTTGGGTTCTAGCAGGAATGATAACAGAGATATAGGGTGTTCAAAATCAGGATTTTTCAATGTTAAGATTTTTTTGTGTCAAAACTATTCATTATCGATCAAAACGGTTTACATGTCCCTATCCCAACTTTCGATTCACTGTCTAATGACATTTAATTGGAACAGATACAGGGTGATCAGAATTCTGAATCTTGAAGCACCCTGTATTTTTTCCAATTAAATTCCAGTGGATAGTGAATCAAAAGTCAAGATAGGGACATGTGAGCCGTTTTGATCGATAATGAATAGTTTCGACACAAAAAATATTGAAATTGAAAAATCTCGATTTTGAACACCCTATATCTCTGTAATCATACTTGCTAGACCCCAAGTGTGACTATCGATGAAATCAGCTCTCCAGGAAGAATCTAAAAAGGCAATAAAATACTGGGTGTTCCATTGAAAATAACAAAGTTGCTGGTTGTTTCTAATAGAAGTGGCAACACTGTATCGATGAGTATATTTTAAACGGATAGAGAATGTTCAATTATCAAAGGATCCTAATTTTCAGAATGTTCTGTCTTTCCGTTCTCCAGATACTTCTAATAGGCCATCCACCGTGGATCACCCTGTATAGGAGGAGCTCGAGATTTTGCGTTACTATTTCTTCTAAGTGTTTGAAAATTTAGAAAATAGGTCATTACAAACATATGAGAAGTTCACTTTTGTAACTAACTACTTAGAAAAAATTTCCTTGAAGTTTCAATTTGTAGAAGAATAATTGAAAATTTTTCAATAAGGTGATTATAAACATACCAGAAGTTCACTTATGTGATCAACTAGCTGAAAACCTTTCCTTAAAGTTCCAACAGCCATCATGAGTTAATAATAATAATAATAATAATAATAAGCCAGCAAAGTGAGTTTATACGGTTATATGAAACAGGTTCTTCTCCAAACAAATTTACAATCATTTTCATCCGGATTTTGGTTGTTTTCTTATCTGGGGAAATGATTGATTTCTTCCACCACTTGCACAAATACATACAAATTCACCAAATTGATTAATATTGAATGGATAACATGCACTGTGACACAGTATTTAAAAAGGGTTTAATACTGAGACAAAAAACTTCATGACCTTGAACCTTATCCAAAAAAATGCAGACTATGTATTCAATCAGTTTGAATATGAGATTTAATTTTATGAAAGTAGCTTTCAATATGTTGTATCTAGTGGATTTTCAATATTGTACCTAGTAACTTTCAATATGTTGTACCTATTATATTACCTATTTATGTATTTTGTGACACTTGTGTTGTTTTTTGCTTATTTTTCTTTTCTGTAAAGAGCACTTTGTAAGCTGGTAAAGATTTATATATTTTATTTTTTAAATGTCAGTGCGAGACAAAGGGAGGTTAGATAATCATAAACTGAAGTCTGCAAATCACGCGTAAAATATTCAACTTGGCAACATCTATAGGAGGCTAGACTCCTTCACATCGCGAAACCCTAGCGCGCAATGCAAATGCCCGAATACGCCCGAATAACACGTGTCTGTCGTGGTCGTGTCTCGTCGCGAATTGCGGACAATCGCGAGTGCATTGTTTATGTTTATGTTAGGTTAATGGTTAGGAGCTCTATAAATTTCTGAAAAATTAGTGTTTTGAACGATTGCGATTTAGTGGAATACTTTTTGGTGAACCCATTCAGTGCTTTGTCTTATGAAGATAAATTGATTGTGAAAAACAAACGTCTGACACCGGAATTAAAAAATCTGATCGTAACAGGTAACAAACAAAATCGTTCGTTCAATTCTGATAATTATAAAAAATATATCTGGGTAACGGGATCTGAGGTAAGGAATAAGCTATTTTGTTCGTACTGCGTATTATTTTCAACCGATAAGTCATCATGTTGGGGGCGATTAGGATATAATGATTTGAAAAATTTGCCTCGCGGATTGGATAGACACTGCATATCACAGGAACACATCTCTTCAAGTATTAAGTTCAGGTTAACTGGTAAACAGAATGTCATTAAAGCTATTGATTTGGGTGAGTCGTAGAGAGTCGAGCCGCCACTGGTTATAACAAGATCTGAACAGAATCGACCCGAATGACCTGAACATAAATCTAATACGAAATTTGATTTACCGAGTTATTGTTGTTGTTCTGCGCTCTCGGGGCGGCCGCAGCCCCGCCCGACCGCATCGCCCTAACCTCGACGGGGAACGAGAGCACGCGCATCGAAGCGCCTGCCGGCAGGGAGGGCAGGCCGATGAAGCCCGGCTGCACGGATATGGTGGGGCCGCCGACACCGCCGTTGGGGGCGGTGTTCGGGGCGGCCGACGGGTTGGTGGTGGCGCCGGTGGCGGTGTCTGCTGCGGCAGGTTGGCCGTTGGTCGGCGCTGCTGGCCGGTCCGCCGACAGGTTGATCTGGGCCTGTGGACGATGTCAAAATGAATGCATTGCAGGTATTTAAATCGCTAATAGCTCAGTAAAACGGTAACGATTAGGACCCAATCCGGGAAAAAAGTAGTCGGTTTCTCTGTGGTTTTATATGTTATTGGAGGTGCTGAATTCGAATCTGAATTTTGCAAACAAAATCTCCTAGAGCGTTCCAGGATATTGGCAAAAAATAGCGAAATTTTCGCATTTTTTTCGGTTTTTTGCCCTTAACTCGGAAATCATACATTATATCGGAAAGACCGCCCTATAAAAAGTTGAAGTTGATAAAATTTCCTAGATATTATTGTTCTTGCTCATTTTTTTTTATCGCTTGGAACGCACGAAAGGAAATCCCTATAATGTTCAAAGAACATCGTGCGTTCCTAGGGAGGATAGGGACAGGAGGTAGGTATTGGAATTTTTTTGAACTTCTGGAGATTATATGTTGATGGGAATACTTCCTCAGGCAATGAATTCCAGAGCCTAGCCGTTTTATGGATGAAGGAGTTTTGATAAAGTGCTGTTCGACATCTTTCGCCGTTGACTACGAGAGGATGTGCTGACTGGGCTTGTTTAGTTAGTCTGACTGGTATTGCTAGTGAGGGGATGATAGCAGAGATTTCTGAGGAACATTCCCCCACCAGGCGAATGGCTCTTCTCTGGATGGAATCTAAGAGCATCAGCGTATATTTTGGTGCTGAACCCCATATGTGGAAACAGTATTCTAGAACAGGCCGTATCTGCGTTTTGTAGATCATGAGGCTGTTGAGGTGTAAATTAGCTTTTCGCACGGAACTAAAATCCGAGTTTTTGTCAAGCAGCTTTTGCGATGGATCAGACATGATTATCCCATGAAAGAGTGTTGCTGATGGAAATACCGAGCATAGATATGGTGGGCTTGGCGGGGAGGGTGGTGCCAGACATTACAATATCGGGCATACTGAGTTCCGCCTTTCTAGAGAAAATATAGGCTTGAGTTTTGGTGGCGTTGAATTCAACTAGGTTGTTGGTTCCTCAGGCTGTGATTTCAGCAAGGTCTTCATTGACAGCATTGACCTGCCTGCGCCGTGAGTTCTTAGTTTCCTGGGAAAAAATGGGAATTCTGGAAGAGAACGCAGTATGGAGGGTACTATCATCTGCAAAGCTGTGGATGTGGCAAGTTGTTACTCCTAACAGATCATATGAAGAAGAAATAATGTTGGTGCCAAAATTGATCCTTGTGGAACGCCAGAATTGATGCCAATTGTATCAGACGACACACCGTCCACCACCACATGAAGCGATCTGCCTGAAAGAAAACTCGATAAGAGATGGCATAGCTGAGGTGGTAAGCCGTATGATGGTAGTTTGTGCAGGAGTCCTTTGTGCCAAACACGGTCGAATGCTTTCGATATGTCCAAAGCGACAGCTAGAGATTCCCCGTGTTTTTCTAATGAAGCTTGCCATAAATGGATGACGTAGGCAAGTAGATCTCCAGTAGATCTTCGGTGGCGAAAGCCGTATTGTCTATCATTGATGATTCCTGAGCTCTCCAGATATTTGGTAAGCTCAATATTGATGGCTTTCTCCATCACTTTGGAGATTACTGATAACAGGGCAATGGGCCTGTAGTTGTTGGGCAGATTCTTGTTCCCTTTTTTGGGGATTGGTTGGACTCTAGCTGTCTTCCAGCATGATGGAAAAATACCCGACCTGTACGAGACGGTAAACAACTTGCAGAGAATCGGTGTTAATTTTGGTGCAGATTTTTTGAGGATAATGGGTGGAATTCCATCAGGACCGTTAGCCTTATTCGTTTTGAGACCAAGCAAAATTCGTCTGATAGTGCGTTGACGGAAGACGATTTCGGGCATTCGACTCTCAACGGGTCGAATGTCTGGCGGCAGTTTTCCTTGGTAATCTGAAGTAGAGTTTGCTACGAACATCTCTGCAAAAATATCTGCTTTCTCCTGCGATGTTGTTGCTAATGTGCCGTCGGATTTGGACAGTGGTGGAAATGAACTATTAGTGAAATTTCTTCCGACCGCTTTAGCAAGGGACCAAAATGAACGGGAGCCATTGGGACAATCTATGAGTTTTGATCTTATCTTGGCATTGTATGTTCCTTTCGGAGCATCTATTGTTTGGCTGCAGGGTGGTTCAAGATTCAGAATTCTGATCACCCTGTATCTGTTCCAATTAAATGTTAGTAGATAGTAAATCACAAGTTGAGATAGGGACATGAAAGCCGTTTTGACCAATAATGAATAGTTTCGACACAAAAAATGCTTAAGTTGAAAAATCTCGATTTTGAACACTTTATATCCCTGAAACCATTACAGCTAGACCCCAAGTGTGATGCATTGATGAAATCAGCTCTTCGGGGAGAATCTAAAAATGCAATAAAATACAAGGTGTTCCATTTGAAATAACGAAGTTGTTGCTTCATTTCGTTCGAAGTGGCAACGCTGCAGGCCTGAAAATATTTTAGAACGATGTCCCCCTCGAAAGTGTAGTTGACGTGTTTGAAATTTTTTTTCATAATCCGGTTTGCGATTTTACTAAATATACTGTACGCTAGCACAAACCACGCCCACCGTAATATCTCATCTTCGAAGTACTTAGGCAAAACTCAGAGACTATTTATCCTTAACGAACTAACCTATCCCTGATTGCAATATTTTTGAGGAAGGAAAACCGATTGGAGTGTAGAAATACATTGATTAATAATATATTTCAAAGTTGAGTTCTTCAACAAAATTGAATAAAATGAGACTGTTTATCCTAAACGCACTAACGTATTTGACTTCAAATATTTCATGAAAAAGGAAAACCAGAATGAAGTAAAAAAACATTGGTGAAAAAAAAAGTTGCAAAAAAAAGTTCAAGTTCACAGCGATTCGAACCATGGACCTTCAGACTGATCGACAGTAACCAGTAGACCATTTGGGTATATGAATTTACTGCGTACAAGAGATTGACAACGAGAGAGCTTCAGTTGAATTCGTGTCAAAATCATAAAAAGTGTATCCTTGCATTGGAGCACAATATATTTTGTTATATTATTGTATAGTTTGAACAATTCTCATAAATTCACTTAAATTGCTCTAAAACTTTGCACACATACACCATTTCTTTTTCCACACCCTTACATTGATCGCCTGGTACATCTGAGACCATAAAATGTTATACATTCACATAATCTGTATTCACAAAAAAAGCACAAGTGTTCAATCACTCTGGAGTTGGGTGCAGCAATCGTTATCCAAATAATGTCCTGGATTGATTTCAGCAATTTTTTTCAGAGAAAATATCTGACTATTTTGGTAAGTTACCCCAACTTGAGACGATTATAACGAAAATATTGTTAAGTATCCAATTAGCATGGTTCACCTGGTATTTTTCATTAATATTTTGATCTTGGTATGTTTATTCAAACTGAGAGGATTAAGATTTCAATCATACAAGTATTCACGAATTATTGTTATTACAAAAACTACAACAAAATTACTAATTTCAACTGGATTCAAACTACTTACTATTTTCTATGATTATAACACGAAATTGTTCCTATTTTAGTGTGTTTGATAAATCAATGAGATACTTTGTAAGTGATCAATTTTATTTCCGTATCCGATATCACAATAACTTTATTGTGAGATTATTTCATCTCTCCTATGAAATGTCAAATTTCAAGCAATGACACCATTGACAGCTCTGTTTAATAGATGAGCATTACTTAAGGGAAAATCAGATGTCTACAAACTCGCACGGAGTGTTAATTTCGCACTCGTATGATTTGTTTCATTCTCGTGGGAAATGACTATCATTCCATGCTCGTTAAACAATATACTATTGTACCGATAATTCAACTGTACTGTATTCATCAAATAAATAATTTACCTCTACTTGGATGGGTATCCCAGTTTGGACTACTGCCGAGTGTTGGATAAGAATTGGACGGCATAAAAGAGGTCTAGGAGGAGGAGTTCTAACTCGTATTATGATGTCACTCAGAGAGTGATAGGCGTGGCCCAGGAAGTGCAGGACTTCAGATACTCTATTCAGCATGGTCTGCGTCTGTCGTTGGTTCTGTAGAGACACAATGGAAAAATAAATAAAAAGGAAGAAAATAATTTATAAATGAAAAATTGTAGATGTAAAAAAATTGTTTACCTCGGCTGGAACTTCAGGGTCATCCCTCATGAAATTCTGATACTGTTCAAGGAAAGGTGCAAATCTAGATTGCAACTGTCCCAACATTGTCAATAAGGCAGCCATTTCTGACGTCCTCGAAGCATTTCTGTAAAACAGAAAATATACAATTCAGTTAGTTAAGTGAAGATAAGGTCTCAAAATCATTGGGTTTTACAGTTTGCAAAAAATTGCGCGCCGACGCACTAATGTTTTGCACTTTTTCGTTGCATCACAGGAAATGGGTCCGGAGCTATTTTTATTGTAATTCGTACTACTGGTGCAATTTTATACATCATTAGTTGCAAATTGAATGTTGCTTGTTCTATTGGTTTCTTCTACCCAACTAAAACTTAATCAGAAACAAAACACGGTTTTTTGTTAAAAAAGCATTGCAAGCCAGTCATTACGATTTAGTGTAAAACAGCCTGCAAATTATTATAGCCGGAAATATGAATTGCAGAAATCAATTGTATGCATGCTAAGCATGCATCGTCTCAGAAATACTCTGAATTTTATTCACATTTCAAACATCACTCATCTGACAGCTCTCGACGAATTTCAATGACAACTGTTATGTCTTTAATGATTTAAGGTCTCTTGTGTTGCTAAGGATCTAAGGTCTTTAGTGAAATGTCAACTGTCTATTGTCTAATCTTGAGGGTTATCTGTCATATACGCTCTCACGTGAATTATTCATGTACTGTACTTTGAATGGTATATAACGAGTACAACAGGCAAATGAAGATACATCAACTTCATCGGTGTGCACACTGTATCTCTCTATTCTATCATCTCGCATGGATACTATTGGATCAGAAGAGATCGCAAAGATTATATCGGACGACATCGAAGCGGGTATAACGCACACAACATGCAGAACAAGGAACTTCGACTTCGACTATGTTCACACTGTGACTCTGCATTCTATCATCTGACATGCATACAGTTGGAGCAGATACAATCGCATTGACCACATAAGACGATTTTGAAGGGTATGTAACGAGTACAACATTCAAATGAAGATACATCAACTTCATCGGTGTGCACACTGTATCTCTCTATTCTATCATCTCACATGGATACTATCGAAGCAGAATAGATCACAAAGACCATATAGGACGACATCGAAGCGATTTTAACGAACAGAACAGCCAGGATAAGAAACTTCGACTTCGACTATGTTTACACTGTGACTCTGCATTCTAGCATCTGACATGCATACAGTTGAAGCAGATACGATCGCACTGACCATATAAGACGACTGTGGAGGGTATATAACGAGTACAACAGGCTAATGAAGATATATCGACTCAATCGGTGTGCACGCTGTATCTCTCTATTCTATCATCTCACATGGATACTATCGGAGCAGAATAGATCGTGAATACCATATAAGACGGCATCGAAGCGAGCATAACGCACACAACAGGTTGATCAAGACACTTCGACTTCGACTATGTTTACACTGAAACTCTTCATTTTAGCATCTGACATGCATACCGTTGAAGCAGATACGATCGCACTGACAATATAGGATTACTTTGAAGGGTATATAACGAGTACAACAGGCAAATGGAGATACATCAGTGTGCACACTGTATCTCTCTATTCTAACATCTCACATGGATACTATTGAAGCAGAATAGATCGCAAAGACCATATGAGACGACATTGAAGCGGGTATAACGCGCACAACAGGCAGAACAAGAAACTTCGACTATTTTTACACTGCGACTCTGCATTCTAGCATCTGACATGCATACAGTTGGAGCAGATACAATCGCACTGACCACATAAGACGACTTTTGAAAAGTATATAATGAGTACAACAAGCAAATAAAGATACATCAACTTCATCGGTGTGCACCCTGTATCTATGTATTCCGACTGTGAAGGGTATATAACAAGTACAACAGGCAAATGACTTCATCGGTGTGCACACTGTATCTCTGTATTCTATCATCTCTCGAAGATATTATTGAAGCAGATTAGTTGACAAAGACCATATAAGACGACATTGAAGCAAGAATAACGCACACAACAGGCAGAACAAGAAACTTCGACTTCGACTATGATAACACTGTAACTCTGCATTCTAGCATCTGACAAGCATACAGTTGGAGCAGGTAGGATCGCAGTGACCATCAAATTGTGTTGATGTTCATATCTATTGATCAAATACAGATGAAGAACCTACGACTGTATCATTATGATTTATCCCTAAGTTGATACATAATAACAACATCAAGTAATCCCAGAGGATGCGGTGCAGAAATCAATTTTCGCCTCTCTTGTTCATGTCCTTCAATGATGAAGCAGCTTTTGGCTTAGGAAAATGTATGTACCGTGGTATACAAATAATCACTAATACACGATTTTGATTATGAACAATTGAAATAATTGTATTATTCGCTACTGAAATATGATTCTTAAAATAGATATTCATGTACCAAGTGCGTTATATAGATCCTAACGCACAGAGGTTAACATTCACCCGAGGGCCTTTGGCCCGAAGGATGAATGCTGCCCGATGGGCGTTAGGATCTAGTAACGATGCCTGTGCCAATCACTATCCTGAACAAAATTATTAAAAAATTGCACTTCCCTGTGCGGAAATTTGCACTCGATTTCGTGATTTGATAACGAGATACGAATTATGCCATCCGATATCAATTGAATGGTGGATTTCAAAAACCTACCTGTGCCACCCCTCAGTCTGAGTCAAATCCACGGCACAGCGATTTACTTGCTCCTATTATTCCGGACATACTTCCGTCATGTGATAACGAGTTGAAAGAAAAAGAAAATGAAAGGGAAAAACGTACCTTTTGCGAATATCCAAACGTGCCGCGATTCAAACTTATGTAAGTTAGTGACAGAGCGTCAATAGTTTCGTGAATATTTCGCCCTCGTCAAAAGTTAATATCCGATGGAGCAGTGTGAAACTCATGTGTTGCTCACACTACAAGTATTCTAATCCACATGTTGAGTTTCACACTGGTCCATCGGATATTATCTCTAGAGGGGGGCGAAATGGTCTCGGAAGTATTGACGCTCTGCCACTAACATAGATCAGTTTGAATCATGGCACGTTCGGATATTCGCAAAGGCGACATCATTCCCTTTTATTTGCTTCTAGTTTCAACTCGTTATCATATGACGGAAGTATGTCCGGAATAATAGCAGCAAATAAATCGCTGTGCCGTGGATTTGGGTCAGACTGAGAGGTGGCACAGGTAGGTTTTATAAATCTACCATTCAATTGGTATCGGATGGCAATATTCTCAACTCGTTATCAAATCGGGGAATCGAGTGCAAATTTCCGCACAGGAAAATGCATTTTGTTCAGGATAGTGATTTGCATAGATGCCGTTCGATAAACTAGAATGGTTCCAGATTGTGCGTCAACTTCATAATATTTAGCCATTGTCAATTTTTACAGTTATTATGTTTCAAACTCAACTTTTTTATATGTTTTAGTTTAACTCTTTCTGTACCTGGAATGATAATTAAATCATCGAAAATGTCATTGTTTTGATTTTTGTTTTCAGTAGTTCAGTAGATCATGGCAATATGCTGAATATTTGATACTCTTCTACAAAATTTTGATCTACACTAAATTTATATTCTCATTCCATTTCTAAACTACATTGTCAGTTCACCAAATATGTGAAGAAAGTATTTAAATAAATAGTTCACAGAGAAATAATACGAAAATTTGAAAATAATATGTACATTAATCTATAGCCGTCTGTGAGACGTATCCTTAGTGACAACATTACAGTTTTGGTACGTTAGTAGTTGAGGGTTGAACAGCTGAACGAAAAACATGAGACAAATATTTTTTATAAGAGATGGAATGTTATCTTTTTGTATCCCTTCATTGTGCTTCAGTATAATATATCGTCTCCAGTTCTATATCATCCGAGATATCATCATCGTCATCATTTGTAATAGATCCAGAATGATTTTCTATAACATCACTTTGATTGATTGATACCATGTTCTCTATTATTTCACTATTATTTGGAACTAACTAATTAAATGAAATTCTGATTCTTTATTGTCAATTCCTTTTCTTTTGGGGACCTTCAAATTCATTTATTTATGAAAAACCACAAATAAAAGCAATTACCAACACTCAGACACAAAGTAAACCTCAGAAAAGAAATAAACAAAATTCACTCAAAACAATGGTCGCCATACTTGTTATCATTGTTCATTGTTCTTCATACTCGCAAACTTGTAAAGTTAGCCACCAGAGGCCGCACACTTCATGACTCGTGAATGCTCTCTCAACAGATTTTCATCATTGTTAGATTTTATAAGGAATGCTTTAGTTGTTTTTCTTAGTATCTGTTTGAAATTCACTGTTTTTACCTTATCAAGTTTACGTTATTTTATGAACATAATATTCATTTATTTTTTTACTAGGGAGTTACTTGAACATTAATATGTTTTTTTTTCTGTGACGGGAAAAAAGTTTGGCATTTCATGTCTGTTGGCAGGTTATAAAATGTCACTTTTCATAAATTACTTTTTTCCCGTGGGAAAAAAGTGAGTACTTTTTTCCCGGATATATATCACATATATATACACTGTTGATGGTTTTTGTTGTGCTATATTTCCGAAAAATGAGTCAATAATGCCGTCTCCGAGAAGGAACTGCAAGTCCTTTTTTCTTCCATTTGACTTCGCGGTTACATATATTACTAAACAACCACTAAATTCGTAATTTTTTTGAAATCAAATCACAGAATTAGACTGACAGAAGTGACATCAGATATTTGATTACTTCAAAAGAATGATAAAGATGCCTACAACGCAGGTGTCCCTACTGTTAAAAACTGTAAATTTCACGTCGATAATTTTCAGATTTCAAAATAATGTAATATCTTCTCAATATTGATTCATCCTTTCTTCTGTCACAGAAAAAAATAGTGTATTATACACGGGAAAAATATTAGATTTTAGCTTCATTAGTACTGGAGCTGGAACCTAATAGTATTTCATTGATTTCACTTGTTGTTCATTGTTTTACCTTCTTAGATGTATTTTCTTCAAATGATTCATGTCTTCTTATAGTTTTCGATTACAACTTTCCAT